ACAGTCGCGGCCGATAGGTACGCGATCCATCTGCTGAGAATATTTGAATAATGTTAAGTGCTAATCTACGGAGAAATCTATGGTGTGTGGAATATATTTAATAGGTGCATAGAATTACCAAGGCTAGAAGCGTATAAATGTAGTAACATCAAAAAAATTTACCTATATGTATATTTTTTTCAAAAATGGTCAGACTCCTCTGAAAACCAAAAAAACGAGGTTAGAGCGATTTTTATTCGTTTTCATTTTTGGCCTTTTTCTCTGCCACCACTGGACCGATTTTTAAAAACTAAAAAGCTTCAAAATAGTGGTGCTTGAATGTACCGAGGATAGTTTATATAAGTTGGGCAACCAGTTTGGTACAGTGTCCGAATTTTTTTCTAGGAATCATTTCAGCATGTGGGATTCAAAATTTTTAGACCTTGAAAATGTTTCGTCCGAAAACAAATCTCTGCGGCAGATATCCAATGTCCAATCTTCATCTAGTGGACAACGCTATAAAAGATGGCACTATACAACCAAGTATGGAAGTAGAAACTGTCTTTGTAAAGCTGCTGGTATTTTGTAACTCTAAATGTCATTCAAGTTTAAGTTGTTCAAATAAATAGATAACCCATCATTCCAGTTTTTTTCATATCATTGGATATGTTAACCATCTACTTTTTTATTACTTACTTGGTCTAATAAATTTTCCAACAACTTTTGTTAATTAAATTGTTATACCCGCACGAAATATTTAATAAATTGTAAAGTTCAGCTACAGTTACGGAAAAAATGTTTAAATTATTATATTGTTTATACCCGCATGAAATATTTTAAAATTGTAAAATTCAGTTACAGTTACAAATAAAAATTATGTTTTTGTTATACCCATATCAAATATTTAGAAATTCTAAAGTTCAGTTACAGTCATAAAAAATATGTTTAAATTGTAAAGTTCAATTACAGCTACGAAAAAAATGTTACTATAATAAGTTTTTTTTATTATTGCGACCACATTTCGGGTTTTAGCCGTAACATATACAACTTCAGAGTTGTCCTATTCTTTGTTACGACTGAGAAAAAGTGCACAATAAAATGGAGAAAAAGTGCACAATAAAATGGACAAAAAATGCATTTTTTACAAAAAAGTCATAGGTCATCATCAAATAATCAGATGAAAAGTATTAAGAATGTTCCTTCAAACAGACAGTTGAAAAAATGGATGTACGACCTTAAGAAAAGGCATATTGTTTTTCTCAATCTGTCCGTTTTATTTAAAAACAGAACCCTATTGGGACACCCTTCATCAATATTGTTTCAAAATATACTAAGTGACATATAAATCCGAACACCCAGTTTAAATGGTTTTATTTTGATAAAAGTTGGTGAATGTATTTATCTTACTGTAAATAACAAGTGAAAAAATTTTCAGCCTTATCAGTTGGACATTCCGGTTTTTGTACTGCTTTTTTTTAATTCACTAACGCTCTAAAAATGAATATTTCAGCCGCAGTAAAGAATCAACGTTGGCAGATTTTGGTTCTTGACATCCTTTACGATCGGTTACGATGCCTAGAGTACGGAGACCTGTACGATTTCGTCAACTTAGTGAGTTTGATAGGGGCCGTATAGTGGGACTTCGGGAAGCTGGACTTTCTTTTCGGGCAATTGCAGTTAGAGTGCAAAGAAGTGTATACACTGTGGTTAGGTGTTGTCAGGCATGGCTTCGAGAAGGCCGTACGCAAAGAGCAAGGGGCACTGGACGCCGCCGTAGAACAACAGACCGTGAAGATCGCCGCCTAAGATTATTGGCCTTAAGGGACCGTTTCTCCACTACCAGGTCCATTGCAAATGAATGGTTTGCAGAACACGAAAGACCTATTGGCATGCGAAGTGTTTACCGACGAATGAGAAGTTTTGGCTTGTTTTCATACCGGCCACACTGGGTCCTCCCTTTAACTCGAGAACACCGACGTAATCACCTTGAGTGGTGCAGACAACGGTCACTCTAGGATCAGGAATGGAACAGTATTGTCTTTAGTGACGAGTCTCGATTTTGTTTAGGCATGCACGATGGTCGTGCCAGGGTTAGAAGGCGACGTGGTGAAAGGAGGAATCCACAGTTTTTTGTTGAAAGACATGTTCATCACACTGTTGGAGTTATGGTTTGGGGTGCTATAGCTTATGGTTCCAGGTCACCTTTAATCTTCATCAGAGGTAACATGAACGCGCAGCGTTATATCTACGAAGTTCTAGAACCCCATCTTTTACCCTATTTTGACGCCCCGGCAGATCCAACTTTCCAACAAGATAATGCCCAACCACATGTTGCAAGAGTCACAATAGACTTCTTTCAACATAATGATGTCACATTGTTACCATGGCCACCAAGATCTCCCGACTTATCCCCAATTGAGCACGCGTGGGATATGATGGGTAGGAGACTGCTCAATTTGCAACGTCCTCTTCAGACTCTAGAAGCACTTCGAGAGGAGTTTGTGGTTGTCTGGAATGAGATACCACAGGAGGACATTGACCACCTGATCAGAAGCATGCCTAGGCGCGTTGGAGAATGCGTAGCACATCAGGGTGCATCCACACATTATTAAAGGTCAAAGGGCTTTAAAGCAGTGCAATCATTTTGAAATTTTTATCATTTACTTATTATGCTTCATTAAGTACTTATACAAAATTTTATTAAAATAAAACCATTTAAACTGGGTGTTCGGATTTATATGTCACTTAGTATATGTTTTCCTGCGAGTGGTTATTCTATGATATATGACGAAAACGAATTCTTATTATACATTGCTTCATACACAAATTAACAAAGCTTCGTGCGAGATCGTCCCAACAGCAAAACAAATATTCAAAATTATTGAAACATATACAGGGTGCGCCATCTTTTATGTCGGTATGTAAACATGAAATAACTTTGAAAACGAAAAACTGATTTCTATATATCGGGTATTTTTTATTAAATATGGTCATTTACAATTTATTGGGACTAGTTTTTGAACACAACATCTATCAAGTGGCCACCTTTATTGGCCATAACAAAATGTGCCCGTTTTGTTGCGTTTTCCATTACTTTTTCGAGCATCTCTGGTGGTATAGCGGCGATTGCGGTACGAATGTTTGCCTCGAGTTCTTCAGTGGTCTGGGGCTTGCTGGCAGACACCTGACTTTTCAAATAACCCCACAAGAAGAAATCCGGTGGGGTCAAATCTGGAGACCTGGGTGGCCAGTCAATGTCACCTCTTTTTGACATCAGACGTCCAGGGAATTTTCGTTGCAGAAACTGGATTGTTTCATTTGCAGTGTGGCATGGCGCACCGTCTTGTTGAAACTAGTAACCATGAAGACCTTTTTCACGCATTTGACATAATGAGCCAACATCCATCGATATTGATTTCCATCGACTGTTTCGTTGAGGAAAAATGGCCCAATGATGGTTTTGGCGCAAACGCCGGCCAAACAGTCACTTTCGGCAGTTTTGCTTATTAACGCCGCCAGAGGGCGTGCAATGGGCCTCGTCGGTCATCACAATTTGCTTCCAAAAATTAGATTCAGCATCAACCATGCGAGCAACTGTTTGGGTGTATTCCAAGCGACGTGGACGGTCAGTTGGCAATATTTTTTGTGTTAATTGCACCTTATAAAAATTCTGATCGCGGTGACGATACGACACTTTTGGGTTCTGGGCAACGCTGTCTCTGACCGCTTCAACCAATTCATTGGAACGTCTTGGTCGTTGATGGAAGGTATGTTACGATCTCCCACTGTCCAGTACTCAAGAAAATTCGAAACCAAACGACGGATAGTGTTGTCAGACCGTGCCTGTTTGCCACGATATTTTCGACGATATGCACGTTGCGTTAACACAATTGAACGATGATTTTCAATGTACATTGTGACTATTTCGGCGTGTTGTTTCGGGGTAAAGTGATTCATGACTAAAATTGTAGTAAATTGACGATTCAGAAACACGTATAACCAAATCACTCGGTTAGTAAATATCAAAGTCATTCGATGTTTCAATACCGACATAAAAGATGGCGCACCCGGTATAGAGTCAACAAACGAGCAAACATAACAGAATTCGTTCATTCAATCTTATTCATTGTAATTTAAATGGACCTTTATAATAATAAAGCATCGTTATTGACTTTTATAGACAAAGAAATTATGATAAAAATACCATACCAGTGGCGAAGTCTAGCTAATAGCTATTCTGCTTGACCACTGGAGGGCAGTTCAACAATAAGTACACAATTAAACTAGAACTAAACCAAAGAATCGATGAAGTAGACAAAAAAAATATATGCTAAATGAAGTTTTTCAAAAAGATTTGAGCTACGCAGGCATTTGCAAATACATGTATTGATTGTGCTTTTAATTTTTACTACCATACAGGATCTACAACGGCAGGAAATATCATGTTAAAAAGAGACCTAACCACTTTTTACTATATCTATAAGCAATCATAAAGAAATAAGAAAAACTGAATTAAAAAAGTACTTTCATTGATCGTACAGCATATAAAACAAATTACATTTCATTTTGAGTTTGAACTTGCTCATGTTTAGAAGCTTTATTGCATTATGTATGAACGATATTTGGAACATGGCAGTCTTGTGCTGCGGAGCTGCGTAGTTTAATTTTGATCTAACATTTAGATGATGAGCATCTTTTCTTATATCAGCAGTAGTCAAACACGGCCCACAAATAAAGCTACAATAGTTGAAATGGCTGAGCACGAAGATCTCACACAATGTTTTATTTAGTTTTTTACTCAGAAAATGCTATAAACGATATGATGGTAGAGAACTGAATGCTTTATTTACTAGAGTTTGAATATCGATAGAGAACGCAGGCTTTGGTCAATAGATAAAACTAAGTTATGAGAAGAATCAAACAAATTGAGCACTTCATTTGATATTTTCAATGAAAAATATTATGGGATCGGAGTGTACATTATGTGATATGTGGTAAAGAGTGAATATTTAATTACCAACCTTATTTTTTTCAATGTATACAGGTCGTGTGAAAATTATGTCGATCGTAGACTCGGAGTACACCTGATCTTCAAAATGTCTGTCAGTCAAATGACCTGGACGACAATTATCTTCTTTCAGATAAGCATACATCAGTTCTTGGTATAGTACCTGACGAAGGTGTGGAAGGTGTGCCTTTGTTTGCGCAAATACCTGTGAACCAAATGACATTTTAACTCAAATGTTTGAGAACAAATAAACTCTTGACTCTAGAGGAAATTGCTGCCATTCTGCCTGGCATGATCCGAAGAGTGAAAATTATTGGGAGAGGCTCACTCAGTGTATCAACACTTGAATTATGTCATTTTAAGACCCATTGACTTAAAATGGCATTATGTATGCTTTTTAACAAATGAAGTTTTTTTTCTGTATCTTGATTAGTTTAGTTTTTATTAGGTTTCCAAACCGGGGAACTCTTTCTCCCTCACCATGTGTAATATATATATATATATATATATATATATATATATATATATATATATATAATAAATATGTATATGCCCCTCACACATAGCTATGATAACAAGCACATAATACAAATGCGTCATATTAAAAAAACATGCAATTTACAAAATGAAATATTTTTTCAATTTCAATAATACGATGCGTTTTTCCTTTGAAAAAATAATATAAATAATAAATTTATTTTTGCAGAGTATGGAAGTAAATCACATGTTTCTGCTTTTTGATTTACGACAATTAGGAAGTTTCCTATAGTCGAAAATACTGCCTGTGTTACTTGCATCTGATAGTATAACTAGTATCTTTGACAAATCTGAAAGAATTATTCCAGTAACTTTAAATTTAAGGAAGTTATGGCATTTTCTGTGCTGGCTGCTGTAGCCGATCGGCCTCGCGGTTCGGTAATGACGTCACATGACGGAACGTCGCGCCTCGGTAGTGAAGCGTCCAAGACAAGAAGTTTTTTTACGAGCCGATTCCACAAATCTTTTGAAGGTGGACATAATAATGTTAATGAATTTCTTCACAAACAATCCACTTTGTGTCAGTACGTAAATAGTATAATTTATTCGATACAACTCTGATAACGTGAACACATTTTTTCAACCCATTGCCTGCGACTATACTATACTGTGGACTTATAAAAGTATTTGAGTCATCAACTTTACGTAGGACGCGTGGTGTCAGTGGCGAGGTATTATAGATGGCTTTATTAATTTTATAAATAGAATAAAATGAAAACATGCTTTGCATGCATCAAATAATTTAGGATGACCCAAAATCCAGCGGATACGTTTGATAAATAATAAATTCAATACCGCGCAGTAACCAGAAAATCAACTGTTTGAACTGAGATTTAATCCAACGCCAATAGGACTTGACATAGCAATTTAATAATTCTTTCGTAAGAATCCACCATGTCCATCTGTTAACCAGGAGTAGAATCAATGATTCGTCATTCATTTTTGGGTATTGCTATTTGGGTGTTGTCATTATAGATCTGGAAGAGACACCTATGGAGACGAGGCGATTGGTTATGTGCAGTTAAAAAGAGAACGGGATCTCTGTATTGTAAAAGTCAGGATTACGCCAGAGCATAGAGTTAAAAGCAATCCGAATCATTGCAGTTTTGAATGCGACGACAGTAGGAGGAAACAGTAATCAAGCTAGAATGCAGTGGTTGTGCTGCACAAGAGGGTGGCTGTAAGCATGGTGTAGCGCTATTAATGTGGCTACACAGAAGAAGCGAAGAACTACCATGCACTTCCGTGAAGTGCTACTGGACAAATGCCAGATTATCTACTATTGGCAGTAATCTAATTGTTAGAAGCCTCTCAGATGATTACACATTAACCCTACACTTGACCGACGCCAATGCATCGCCGCGTCGACATAAACAAGATTTGAACAGTGTTGCCCCTACAGCCACAAGATGATCACTTTACAAATACTCACATTATCTCGAAATTAACGCAATAATCAAATCTATTTCTGTTCTCCTTTAACCATTTAGATTATTTACTTTATCATGCGAGGCATACAGACTAAGACTAATAATAATTATTATTGCTACCATTTATAACATAGGTATCACCTAATAGCTGCTTACATCAAAATGGGATTCACAGCAAAACAACGTTGATTTTTCCGACAATTTATCGTCCCTATTCATTACCTTGCATCACTTCTTTCTAATACTGCTGATATGCTAGTATTTGTACACCTAGGTTCACTAAACTGTTTGTAGGTTGAAGGTTTGGCCCTCTTTTACTCATTGTTAATAATAGGGTGAAGCGTGTGTGGCGCGGCGCGCCGGGCGCATCTCCTTGCAGTGGTGCTGGGCTGATAAGGTTCCGTCATGTGACGTCATCACTCACTCGCACGGCCCACCACACGATTATCCAAATAATAAACTTCTGACTAGCGTAACTTTGTTTTTCAAGATATTAAAAAAAATTCAGCGCTGTTCATTTTGAGTGTATTTTGAAAAATAGGAAACTTCCTCATTACAGACAGAATGTCATTTATTTGTGATTAGTTTGAAAAATATCAAGAATTTTGAATTCAATATTCTCACACTTAGATTTTCAAACTTCACTGCCTTTTAGCTAAGTATGGCAGTACAGGTATTTGATGTATTTCTGGTAATCGACAAACAAAATATTCCCGAAAACGTTACCTTCTCTTGATTTTTTTTAAATGGATTATCAAAACAAGTTGAACATAATACTGACGCTTTTTCTTTTAAAAAAATCTACTAATGGAATAAGTCTAACCTCATGAAAACAAGTCAGACGAAAAATAGGAAACTTCCTCATTACAGACAGAATGTCATTTATTTCAGGCATCGACAACAATTATAATATGATCCAAAATTACACTTATGAAACTCTATAAAACCATGTAATTCTGCAATATTCATTCATGTTTATTATGTCATAATAATATCATGTGATTAGTTTGAAAAATATCAAGAATTTTGAATTCAATATTCTCACACTTAGATTTTCAAACTTCACTGCCTTTTAGCTAAGTATGGCAGTACAGATATTTGATGTATTTCTGGTAATCGACAAACAAAATATTCCCGAAAACGTTACCTTCTCTTGATTTTTTTTAAATGGATCATCAAAACAAGTTGAACATAATACTGACGCTTTTTCTTTTAAAAAAATCTACTAACGGAATAAGTCTAACCTCATGAAAAAAAGTCAATCATAAAACCAGAGGTTTTACCCGATTTAATGCAGTTTCAAACTATGAACTCAATGTTTTCCTAAGTTTCAGCATTTTCTAGTACAATATGCGACAGATGACACCTTGAGAGAGTACCCTTTCAATTACATGCTGAGAAGCTTCAAAACCGGGACACTGTTACCTTGATACGCAAGTCAAAAATGGTATAAGCATAATACAGGATGGATATCTAATGCAATGAAGTATACTATAAAGCTCATCAGCTATCAGCTGTCCAGTTTTGGAATTACTCTACCTGTATAAAATGATACCAACAGAATTGATGTAGATACCTGTATCCCATGGATGAATACATTCCAATCTGTCTTGAACAGTTCAGTAGTCTCTCTGTTATTAAGGTCCGTGCATTGATATGGATCTTTTATTGATATGGTACAGTACAACTTTTTACATTCTGCAATCGTCTGCAACTTAGCGTTTGATTTCTAAAAGAAAAAATGCCGTCAAGTAGGTTGACTCTGCACTTCCCAACGCTGTCACCAGTTCATAAAGGATTATGTCCTGCCCAATTTAGTCACTTTAGGGTAGCTATTATCATGTTTAACAAAAAAAATTAAGACAAACACGCCCATATACAATCAGTACATACTCCATAGTCCCCATTCTTTTCATAACGCTAAGGCAAGCTTTTCCCTGTCCTAACAACGCCTGCAACGCTGCTTGATCACACCAGTCTAACACATCAGCCAGCTACGATACTATAACATTACGTCACTGCCGGCGATGCTTTCGGACGCAAGCCAGGGTTCAGGGTTTGAAAGTCGCCGTTGCATCGTCTCGACCGACCGCGTATACAGTCTATAAATATCTCTCCAGGCTATAAGAGCAAATGCACGGGGAAATATTTGATGTGTGAAATATGTACTAGCATAAAATTACTCCTTCGCATAGTAGAAACCCTATGTGAAAATTTCATCCAAATCTGAGCAGTAGCTCCAAGTTATAAGTGGTCCAAAGATTAGCGGACAGACAGACTGACCGACGGAGATGAGATGGTTTCTCGTGAAGTACGAGTACATGTCATATAACATCCAAAAAACATAAAATCTCATTTTCGAAATTTTTCGCGGATACAGTACAGCCAATAGGCGTGAAAAGTAAAATCAAAACAAATCAAATATATATAAAACACACAAAATTATTCAAATTAGCTAGCATGTTATACGTAAATTCACAATTTTGAGAATCCGACGCGTCATTTTCATGACTTCCAATAAGTTGACACTGTTTTAAAAAAAAATGAAAAATTGGGGAACTTCATTAAGATACTTTAACTAAGCGATTTCTTTCAAAAAACAATAACAGTGTGTTGCAAATTAAAAAATATATAAGGTGGATTTTTAGTGGGCTCGGTCGATAATTCTGTTATTATGCATGCCATCTACTCGTATATATAAAATATATAAAAATTGTAGCCAAAAGCATGCTCCTTACTTGGAAAATTGGAAAATATGTTGTTGTGTAGGGTGATTCATAACTATGTGGTGACTCAAACATACATTATTTCAAACAGAATACCCTATATTTGATTGTAACTTTGAATAGACCCATTCAACCAAAGCAATATCATAAAGTAAAGGGTTTATTTTTCAAATTGCTGAGATTAAGAAAAAAAACACTTCAACAAGTCACACCTACACAACCGAAGACAACTAACTGAATTTTAGTAAAAAAAAATTATAATCCCATATTTTCCCCTCTATGTATTTTTTCAGTTTTTTTTTACTCTCAAAATTTGAAAATGGAACACCCTGTTTTCACATTCTCCAATTCCCCCTTTCACAAGCTTTCTTTTGATATAAGGCTTATGGGGGTTTATACAACATAGTTTTTCATTTACAGCCAACATTTTTGTAAATCGGACATCAAGATATATGGAAAATATTGCAACACGATTTAGAATAAAAAGTAACAATATAATGTACAGTGCAATGTTCGTCCTCCTCATGATATTCGGTATCTTTCTAGTTGTAACTCCCGTCGGACAAACCCTCCAAAGCCTTATATCAAAAAAAGAATGAGAATCAGATAATGTGGAAATACACATTATAAAATTTCGAGAATTATTCATTTTGCATGGAATCATAATTTGTTTCTGGCGAAAAATTAAGTACTCTAGCTAGGACAGTTGAGGAGATGCGAGTTGTAGAAGTTGCGTGTTTTTTTTTTGTAGCTTGTCCTATATTTCAATATATAAATAAAATCCTATAGCAAGTTAATCAAATTCTTTTTTTTAAAGGCCTACCCAAATCTGCAATGAAATGTTGGACTTTCATTTAAAAAAAAATGTATGTTTGGATGACTACTTACTTGTGAATCACCCTGGAGATATGAAAATATTGTTGTAAGGAGCATATTGTTGACTACAATTTTTGGTCGTTAACTTTTCTAAATACCATGCAATAATTGAGTGCTGGACACCCTAAAAACTCACCCTGTATGATTGATATGTGATTATTTGTCATAAATGTCTGAGCAGTTGAATTTGTTGAAATCGAAAAAATGAACATAGCATTATTGTAATAAAAAAAAATGAAAACAGCATTTTGCTTTCAAGTGATTCTATAAAGCATTTTGTTATGTTAAAGATTTCCATATATGATTTTCAACTATTTTCCTCCTCTGCCAATTAATGTGTTCAGCTTTTCCTACAAATCATTTTTATTTCAGCTCAAACACTGTCTTCGATTTTCCAATGGAATCCATTTTTTTTTCAAAACACAAAATTGAAAATATTTCTTTGATTTCAATAGATACCCCTAAACTCCAAATGATATATTACCAGTTTTTTCGACTTTTGCTCCACTTTCAGTCCAGTTCAAATACACTAATTTGGTGTTATGTTACTGATTCTGATCTAAAAATATCTGCATACTGAATATAAATAAATGTTGATGTTTCTTTACAAATACAATTGCGAAATGTTCACACCATGTATCCGGATGAAAAAAGTCACCAGGTTGCCTTTTGAATTAATGCCATTCTTCTTTGGCAATGTAATGAATCTAACTCTCTCAGCCTACATTTCTGAATACCTTTTTTATAAATATACATTCTGAATGTTTTTTCTCAAACTGGAATTAATCTTCTTTTAAAAAACTCTGCAGACTAAAATTGGCACTGTCTTCTGTAAAACTCTGCATCTGAATCCAACTCTCCACCTTGTCTCTAGCTGGCACCTCATCCACCAATGCATCATCCCTATCTTCATCCTCTTCTGTCTCCCAAACACTTAGAAAATCTTTTGCTATTTGACTGTTGATGTTTCTTTTTGAATAATAAGGAGCAAATTCCAGTAAAAATTCATCCAGTTTGCCCTTGTTATTGAATTTTTCCAAATTATCTTCAACAATAATGCCATTGTTAATTGTAGAAAAAGCTCCCCTCATATCAACTGTATCTGTGACATACAGAAATGCTGTTGGATTTTCCATACTCTTGATCCATTCAGATAATTTAGCTACTGCATCTGAGGTGTCAATAGAACTTGGATTGATCTTTTGCTTGAACAGCTCTCCCATAGAGTTTATTGTATATATAAATATTTCATTGTTTACATTGAGGAGTTTCATGCCTGTTAAAGAGTAAGATATTCTATCTGTTAAATGGGGTTTCAACAGTAAACTAGGGTTATTTGAAATACATTCATTCAATGCATGACTTAGTGCTGGTATATTGAAAGGTGCTGAAAATGTAGGACTCGACCCAAATATCACCCGATCATTATACTCATGACCTGAAATGCACAAAAATTTGCTATCAATATCTGTTACTACATCCACATACAAAGGAGCTGATGTCAAACTATGTGCATAATGTGATGCATCATTCATGAAACGCATATCAGTTTTCAGTACATAATGTCTTGTCACCAGCAGTAAGTCATTATTCAGGAAAGCGAAGTTACATAATGTATTACAATCTTTGAATTTTGGCTCAAATACCTTCACTTCACTTCCTTCTCTATAATCTATAATACTGACTTGATACCGGTTAATCAAAATACATGTGTTATCATCAAGCACTTTGAAATGTTGAAACAAGTCACTTTCATATTTTCTTGGTTGTTCAAACATGAGTATGTCAGCATTGAGTTCAATATCCCTTAATGAAAATAGACCATTTGCCTGTATCAGGCCTAAGGATAACATTTCACCCTTAATAAGTTTTGCATCTAAGATAGGTTTGTCATACTCTTCAGACCACATCTTTTCTATGTGTAAAGCATCAGTTAATTTAGCCAAGGAAACATTGTTTTTTCCTCTCAAACATATATAAGCTGTAAAATAATCCATTTGTAGCTTATTCAATCCACATACCGGAGTGTAATTCTGACAACTCAAGTCTTGAAGTTTGCCATTTGGTACATCTAACAAATGAATGCTTTCTGGTGTAGCATAAATCAGATAATCAGTGTTATCAAATATTATGTGATCCAGAACACCCCCTGTATAATAGTAATTATAATCACAGTCGAAATATGTATCTGGATTGCCTTTATCATAAAACTCTAGCATTCTTTTTGTCAGATATGAATATTTTTTATTATTTTTCTCATAAAATACCATCCTCTTGTTATCTTGCGTGAATGTTTGTTGTCTAAAACTCAGAGATTTATTGTAATTTTCCTTAACTTCTAATAACTCTCTAACACTGTCCTTTTTATCTGCGACGTTCAAAGGAGCGTGAATGGGATAGGGATAGCCTACTTTGATCGAAATTTCTGGACCTTCGAACAGAGGTTCTTCGGAAAAATCCAGCAAGAGATCGTGACGGACATCAATCGCATCTCCTATTTTACTGTCACTTCGCAGCATTTCTATGTGATGGAAACAAACAGCGACTGAGTAATAAAAATGAGAGATTGCTTCTTTGTTCAATGATTTACTAGAAGATACAGCCAGAATCTCAAAAATCAAGTTTAGACCACGTGTAAACAAAAACAAAACAACTTAAACCTAACCAAAAATTTTTATTTGACATAATAGAGATGGGAGCTTAAGTTTCAATTTGAGGTTTTAATGCGGGTCCCACACGATGCTTCCAACAATGTATACAACGTTCGACACCCCACAATTGACAAGTGTGTCTCCTACACGATGGGATGAACTTCTTAGTCTCGGACGTTCGATGCATGGTGGTGCCAACGTCCATAATCTGTCAGTGTCGCGCTTGAACCTTTACAACTGAAGGAAAAATTATATAAAATGAACGATGACACAATTTTTTCGAGCGCCGAAAAATAATTCCTGATCTGTCCTCAGCGACCAAAACTTAAGTGTCAGAAGCCTCAAAAATGTCGAAAAACGAAGTGTGACCGTTTTTTGTTTGTTTTTCGACGACAGCTCCACCGCCACTGTACCGATTGTTAAAAACTGCAGCTTTTTAATTTTCATAGTAGTAACCTAGGGTCAAAATTTCATCA